TTAGTATGACCCTGGCTCACTTCTTAGGAACTGAGATCCGCAGCGGTCTTAGCCACTCATCCCATCGGCATCTCCTAATGCACGCGTAGCGGCCACCGGCTCCGATAGAAAATGAATTCTCCCACTCCCTCAGCAGGGGTCCTGCAGCAGTACGCAAGCATGGCCTTTGCACGCACGCAAGAGAAGCGCTTCGCTAGCAGTAATAGTAAGATGCCCACATTGGACCAAAGAGGATTGTTTACAGACTGAGCAGAGAGACCACCCAAGCGGCAATCTTTTCTTGGCTCAGGATGATCTCATCTCTTGGCTGGGTGCCCCCCATCTCCACGAGCCACCAAAAAAGGATTGCTCCGCATTACATAATTGGCCAGGACTGCCTCTTCAGATAGGGGCGTATGCCTTCCTTCCTCTGCAATACCTTTTTCGGTCATCTACTTTTTCTCCTCTGGCCGTTGCCACAGAACCCATCACAGGGAAAGATTTAGAACAGACGCCTCCACGAGCTTCTCTTCCCAGTCATGGAAATGAGGATCAAAAGCTGAGACTCTGCCTACAGGGCAACCATTGAAACCTGAGTGTCCTCGTCTGCCAGCAATGGAAGGTACAAAGCAAGTCTTGCTGTTTGCAGGTGAAGAGGCTCTGGGAAGACTGTTCTGTTTTTGATTTTTTAACATACTGTGGCTCGAAAGATAGCTGATGGATGGAAACTGCAAGGAGTTCCTGAGAAAAGCTGCTTCAGCCCTCCATCCTGTTCCAAGCACAACAATCTTCCTTCCTGAATGATATCAAACCTTTCTCTAAATTCCACTTGCCAACATTACGCCAAGCACTTTACATTAGAAGCATGCTCCTTTTATGAGTAATTCTGTACAGTGCCTAGTGCTGGAGGCACTTTATACATACTAACAATAATTAGTAATAACCCAGAGACCAGGATGGAGCTACGTAGAAAAGAACAGTCAATTCTCAAATATTAGAGCTTCTGTGGTCATGGGGATGCAGGAAGATTTGATCTTGCTTTAATGGTGCCCCGAGTGCTCCTATCGAATGTATCCTATATAAACATGCTTTCGACTGTGTCAGACCCATCCTCCATCAAAGCCAGTATTGTCACCACTGAATGGCAGCAGCTCTCCAGGGTTTCAGGCAGGATGTATTCCTAGCCTTAGCAGGAAAAGATGGGGATTGAACCTTGGACCTTCTGCACAGATAAAATGGGCTTTATCACTGAGCCCTTCCCTGCATGGAAAATATGTTCCTCCCTCGAACAGCTGATGTTCGCTCTTGCAGCAGAAAGGATATCCTGCTGTCAGGGCCAGCTCTGGCGTTTGGTGGCGCAACCTGTTTGATACAATGGAAAGCCACGGCCTGGGGAAAGAGGGCAGCATGGAATCGCGATGGAACAAAGAAGTTGGAACTGAGCCCAGTGCCGCCATCACTCATGAGCATCAATGCAAGGTGGAATATTGGTGATTTGCCAGCATGGGGAAGTGACTCAGGGACAGCAAAGGGGGATGAGCAATGGCTGCAGTACCCCCACAAGCGATGGTTTCCGTTTTCCTCCCCAGAATGCCCTTTGGAAGCCTGCTACATCATCACCATTGTTTTCCCAAGAGGCATTTTGGGAAGACCTCTGAACCAGCCACTGTGAGACAGGCAGGAACAGCAACAAAAACCAAAGGGGCATTGATCCTCCATACCTCAATGTCACCACCACCATTTTCCCCCAGTGGTTTGGTCAAAAATTGTCCTCTGAGACTTAATGACCCAGCCATAGTGGCCTCATGAATGAAGGACTTTCACTCAAAACACATTGGGCCTAATAAGCACTTCCTTGTTGCCCATTTGAAGGTTTCCTCTTTGGTTGTTCACATTGCTGCTGATGTACTGCTTAACTACAGCAAGATTAGAGGGAAAATCTGCTCCGGAGACAGAGTTGGGGAGCAGAGGAGCTGGTTCTCGTATTCTATTGTCCAGAGAAAGCACCTACCACATTCAATCCACCACATTCAATCCCTGTGGTTTCCCCTGCCTACAGACTGTAGCCACAAAATCCAGGCACAGTTTTTGTATTTGTGGCCTTTTGTTTATACGGAGTAGCTCATAAATGCAATCAGAATCAGTCACAATTGAATTATGCCCACGAAGAGGCATTTCCTGGGTCATTTTAAGGCCAGGAGTTTTGCCTTCAGTGGCAAACCTGGTTCTGTTAACCCAGATCTCTAGCAAACCACAGCGGTGTGGTTGAGCGAGTGGCCCAGTGACAGCAGGGCAACAACAGAAGTGGGTTGGAAGTGTTTAATCCTGAACAATCCCTGAGTGCTGCACACAGGGGTACCTCAGTCAAGGGTCTGGGCACAATTTAGAATTGCAGAATAGTAGAGTCGGAAGGGGGCATGAAGGCCACTGTGTCCAACCCCCGGCTGTCCAACTCCCCAACCAACTGTGTCCAGCCCCCATGCCACACCATCGCACTCAGATGGCTGTCCAGTTTCTCCCTGAATGCCTCCAGTGTGGGAGAGCCCACCACCTCTCCAGGCAGCTGGATCCCCTGTCATATTGCTCTGGCAGTGAGGAAACGTTTCCTGCTGTCTAGCCAGAGTCTGGGTTGTTGCAACGTGAGTTGAGTCTTCTGTGTCCTACACTCTGGCATCAGCAAGAAGAGATCTTGCCCTTCCTCTTTGTGACAGCCGTTGAGGTGCTGATAGAGGGATCTCATGTCCCCGCTCAGTCTTCTCTCCTCAAGGCTGAACATGCCCAGTTCTTTCAGTCTCTCCTCAGGGCAGCGTTTCCAAACCCTGGATCCTTTGTGTTGCCCTCCGCCGGACCCTCTCCACTTTTTTGGTGCATTGCAAGAGCAATAATATTTAGGTGGAAGTTGTCACAGATAAAAAGCCATGGCAGAGACATTGACGCCACTCACCCAGCCCTTGTGCAGCTGTTTGGCCCAGGCCAGGGGTGCTGCCATCTGACACAGAGCCTTGCATGGGACATTTCTGAAGCTCAGCTCCAATGGGACTCCAAGTTAAGGCAGGCATTTAATATGTGACTCCATTTACCTTAACAAAAAATACCAGGTTCACATGACCAGTGCCTCAGGCTTATCAGGGCCTGGCATATTAACAGGCAATGACATTCCACTGAAAGGCCTCATGCCTTTAAGCATCGCTCTCAAGGGTATCAATTTCCCACTTGGTCAGTCCAGTTTTTAAAAAGCCCGTTTAGGAGGTGCGGCTCACTCTTTCTGATCCCAATTTTCTTTAAAAAGAAAAACGGCATTCCGGCACCTGTCAGCATCCCCTCAAACACGACGCTTTTTGGCAACCTTTACCTCGGGAAGCTCAAATAAGCCTTGACTACTGACATGCTGTACCTTGTACCCTGGACAGCTGTCCCTTGGGCCATCTGCAGTTTCTGGGCCTCAAAACACCACTAGAGATTCGGCAGTCAGGGTTCCAACTGGTAGATGGATCAGCGAATGCTTTCACTATCTGATCTGGTGCAAGCACTCTTCATGCCTTGTTCCTGATTTGACTTCGGGGGGACTTTGGGCACATGGTGCATTACTTGAGCTGGGAGCAAAGTAAAATTGGGAATCTGCTGAGATCTTCTTTGGAAGCTCTTCTGAGGTGAGGCAGGTGACAACTGGGGCGTAAAAAGCTTTCTCTCAGTTGTAGCGCCACTTATAAGTTCTTTCCCAAAGATGGTTTTGCTTGGCACGTGTAACTGGTATCTTTTCCAGCACCAGACAAGGTTGTCTTTATCACCCTAGGTTTTAAAATCTCAGGAATGTTAAACACTAACAACAGCAACCACAAAGATGGCTGTTTTACATTGCTGACTTTTTTCAGCTTTGCTATAGCTAAAGTAAAGTAGGAACTCAAGAGGGCTGTCTTGGTGTCAAGGGAAGTTCATGTTGCCCCCACAAGCAAAGATATTGCTTATCTGGATGGTCCTTTAGCCCCAGGAGCTTTCTTGTGATGGCTGCTGCCAACTGCCTTGCCTTGCTGTTTTTAATGGTTCCACTGATGTTCTTACCTGGCTCTTTTTTGTGCTGTCAATTGCTATTTTACGTTATTTTACAGCTGTTCACTGCCTTGAGCAAAGTTTAGTGCAAAGGCAGCTTTTAATAAACAAATTAAATGTTACTGTGCTTTTCGAATCATTTTGTTGTTTTACCTTGAGAACTCCCCTGAAAATTACAGACGGAAACGTAAATTTGTAAAGTAGGAAAGCGGGATAGGTACCCACGATCCATAGCTCACATTCTTTTCTGCTAAGAGAACGCTAGGCATTCCCTCTCATTGAACTATACCCTATTCCAGGCTTCCTTAACCTGTTCCCCTCCATATACTTTGAACTCCCATCAGTCCCAACCGGCACAGTCAGTGGTTTAGAATCCCAGGAACTGCAGTCCAAAACACTGAGTAGATGCCAGCTTGTGGAAGACCCCCCCATATATTATCCCTTTGGGGCCAAGATTCATGGCAAACTGACCAGGTACATTTAGCTTCCTACAGGAAAAATCTACTGCATGAACCACAGGAGGGTAACCGGATCACGCCTGAGATTGCCAAGTTTCTCCAAAGACCACCTCATCACTTGCCTCATGCATGCTTTCGGTCTACCTTCACCACCTGCACTGTGAGAATGGAAACCTTATGTGAGCTGAGCAACGATCAAAGAGGTGGTGCCTGAATGTTTATTCAAATTTGCACCATTTCCTAATTTGCTGAGCAGCCTTCCCCCATAGACTAAAGGGGGGCTAATTCAGTCTACTGAAGGAAGTTGCGCATTGAACTGGGGATCAGGAACGAGCAAAATGTGGGTGTGTTGGCAACCTGGGTGTATTTTTGGAGGGCACATGTTCACATGGGGAGCCTTGAGCTGGGGCAGGCTCACTTTCATTGAGAGCAAAACCAAAATCCTCCTACATCCCTAGAGTGAACTCTCTACATCCAAGTTCCGAGGTGGTTCTTCCACTTGCCTTGTGGCCTTACCTTTGGATTAGGGTGCCGAAGAGCAGATGCAGAACCTTCTGCATATTCTCTGTGCAGAGCCAGCTCCAGTGATCAACCATGATCAAACGGAGAAGGTCCAGAGCAACATCAGCCAGCATCGTCTCCGATCCTGTGAAGTCAAGGTAAAACATATGGAACACTCCTTTGTGCCAGGTGAGAATATTTGTTCAGCCAGCCTTGACTGAGATGCAAGCCAAAATCAGCCCACCAAATCAGGTCCTTTGGGGCTCTCCATTTTGTGTTTGAGCTCACACACAACTGGAATGCAACCCTCAAAGCTTTTCCAAAACTGAATTCAGCTCTTGGTCTGAAAGAGGTTCAACATCCTTGCTCTACTCCGACGGAAATCTGCATCCCAGGCAGTGAGTTTTACTGTCACCTGCTCCTTCATCCTTTCTAAGTGAAAATGCCAGGGAACAAATCTACATGAAATGCTGCTCCTGAGCTAACATCCTTCCCTTCCACAAAATATGACTTGTCATACAGATTCTTCTTGGTCTTTCCAAGTTTCCTGGCAGGACTACTGAGAGCTTTTTGTTTTGGTAGCCAGAAAGGAAGCCAGTCAGCAAGGCAGTGATGGCTGACCAGTCATGTTTGGTTCTGCAGCAGCCAAAAAATCATTCACATCAACACTTGTGCATACACAGCAGACTCGTGCATGGACAATTCTGCCTGTCAAGAGCACAAAGAGAAATCTTTTCATCTGGGATGAATGAGGCAAGTGAGATTCCTAAATGAATAACCCATGCAACACAGAGGTCTCAGTGCAACAGGGCTTGGGCAGTCAGTGCGCTGCTGGAAGTCTGCAGGCGTCCTGTCCTGTGGTGCCCAGCGTGGAAGCGTGGAGCACACGTGTGCAAGGTGTGTCCCTCCAAGGCGTGTGTTTCAGACAATAAAACTGAAAGGTGCAATGAGTTAGGCGGCTTGGAAATACAATGCACTGCAACAGATGCAGTGTGGGAGCTTCAGCAGCAGGGATCCCGAAAGAGCAGGCAAGGAAGACCAGCATTAAGGTTCCTGCAGCACACTGGAGAAGAGGCTGAGCTGCAAATTAGGGTGGTCACAGCTTGAGTCTTGCCTCTGCTGTGAATTTACTATGTCCCCTTCCCATCTGTAAAGTGGGGAATAACAGAACTGATTCACCATACAGAGATACACAGACAACTAGAAAAGGCACACAAAGTACTTTAAACATATTAAGAATGAGAAGTACTGTAACTACCTACACAGTAGCATTACCTACATGATTTACTTGAGCTAAGTTTATGGTAGTCTGACTGACAGGGTGTTCCGAAAAGAGCCCTGGGAATTGTAGTCTGAGAGCCCTAACCAAACCCGCTGCCTGTTAGGACACTACAGCTTCCGGTGCTCCCCAAAGGGGGTAGGGACAACACGACGGTTTTCTGTCCACGCTACAGCAATGCCTGTCCTGGCCTGTTTCCACCCCTTGCCTACCAACCGCCACACTGCTGCCTGCATTCATGTCACTCTGCTGCCACCTTATGGAGCCATCTCGATTCAGCCACACGGCGAGCATCTCTACTGTGAGGCTTTGCTGCTTGCCACACCAAAGGGAGCCCAGGAGACGGAGGGACGCGGGAGGCTTGCTCTGTGTGGTCTATAAAGACAAGCAGTGGCTCGACCAAGTCTCAGAAAGGGCCCCTTCCCAGCCTTGCCTGGTGATTGTGGAGATTGATCCCCTGGCCTTCTGCATGCAAATCGTGTCTTCTGCTACTGACTTATGGCTGTCTTTCAAAAATTAAAGTACAGGAAATGCAAAAACTGCTTTTTCCAGAGGAAGATGGCAGGTTCTTCTAGACAATGTACTGACTGTACTGACTGAAAGCAGCTCAGGGTTTTATGCAGGGGTCTTTCCCAGTCCCAAATGTGCTGGGGATCCTAGCAGGGCCTTTAGCATGCCAAGCGAGCGCTCTACCTTGGAGCCATGCCCCCAGCACCAAGGAACTCCAATCCAAATATTATACTAATAGTGAAGTCTTTCTCCTATCTTTATGCGGCCAAGATAGCACTACCCAAGCATAAGGGGTTGGCACAGGAATCAAAAGACCTTCAGCAGATAAAAGCACCCTAATGTGGGGAAGAGGGAGACCTTTAGCAACCCCAAAAGACTGAGCATGCTCAATGGGCAGAACATGTTCCAAGGACTGTTGCAGAATCCCTACCAGAAAGCCAGAGGTGTGTGAGGAAGAATGGGATGAAGCATCCTGGAAGAAGGCGTGGCTGATGGGCTGGAACGGTGAACAGGCGCACCACAAACTGCAATACTTTGCTGCTATCCCCATCTATAATACTATATCCAGATGCTGGCTGGAAACAGCAGGGGATGATCACTGAAGAGGCAACCTGTTTGTGTGATGAACTTTCTTCCTCCAGAAGAAATCCTTCTGTTGGAATGGCGAACCCACCAGTCCTGCCTGCTGCCTGGGGATCCCTGCTCTTTCACGTCAAAGCGGGCCTGCCTTCACACCCGCAGGGCAGGGCTAAGTGAAGCCGGTGAAGTCACTGCAAGTAATCGAACAGGGCAAGGGAGCGGCCTATCCACCCTCCCAGCATGCACCTTGGGAGGGATCAAGAAGCATTTTTACCTCAGGACAAGCCTCAAACGAGCGTGGCCATTTTCAGAGTAAGCAGCCAGGGAAAGGGTCAAGTGTTGAGGACCAAGATCCAGCCTCTCCAGCTATAGCTCAGTCTCAGGGATTCCCCTGATTCTCCCTTCCTCTGCCCAGGCCATTCTGTAAGGTCTGGGAAGCCCCAGCATTTGCGTGCTGAACAAACTGCATTCAAAACATGGGTCCAAACATTCCCACTCTTCTTTGTCCTGAATGCTTACTGGCTCCAGCTCTCTCTGTGTTTGGGGTTTCTTCTCTTAAGAATCTTCTTGAGAGAGAAAGCCAGGAGTAAGGCATGGGGTAAAGAAGACATCTTTCCCCTGCAAGTTGGCAGAGCAAAGCTGGCAAGGTGGGTCCCTGGGTGAGGAAAGTTTAACGCTTGCCTCCCCTGCAAAATCTCCTGTGGGAGGGGAAGAGGTAAGGGGGGCATGTGTGAGAGACAACCAGGTTCCCCTGCTGACTATGCCATGCTAAACTGGTTCTGCTGCGGCCCACTGTCCCCAGGAGTCGCATGTTGTGAGTAGTTGGAAGCTGCCTGTGATACATGATCACAGATTAAATGCGCCTGTTTCTGGAAGGCCCCGATTGCACTGGATACTATCAAATGGACCAGTCAAAGGGGTAGCTGAGTACTTCTGCTAGGCACCATGCCTACACCCATCAGAAGATGGTGCCTCCCACATGACTGAGGCTCCTTATCCATTGGAGTGTTTACACTGAACTTTTGAAGCACTGCCGTGGGGCTGAAGTCCATCCCCCAGCACAGAAACCGCCTCCTCAGGAGGTAAAAACACCCTTATGTGGGGAAGAGGAAGACAGGTATCACTCGCTGCGGCCTCTGCTGTGCACCACTCTGTGTGACCCTCGGGGAGAGAAAAGCTAATCACAACCACTGTCCAAAGTCAGCCCAGCAGGTAAACAGGACTGAAAACTAATACTTGGCTTGGAGGTGGGACTCACCAGACTCGCTGCGTCCATCTCCTGGCTGCTGCACCACTTCCACGGGCTTTGTGTACAAATGGGGCGGGCATTTCAGAGCCTCCATATCGCCATCTCCTTCGCCCTCCAGAACCTCGCCGAATGCTGCCTCCAGCAGCCGCTCCTGCTTCTGAATGAAGGACTCCATTCTCGCCAGGGACAGGAACTCCGACACCTAGGGATACATCAGCGTCTCAGTGCAGTGGAGAAATTGAGAGCCACTCTTGAGCTGGGACAACACAGTGGCCAGTTTTCAGGGCAGGGGTCTACTGCAATGATCCCTCCAGCTGTTTGCAGATGTGCATACACACTTACAGTGGTGCCTTCCCTGAAAGAATACACAATCTTCTCCTGTGCTCCAGGCATGTTCAGAACCGGGGCAATTTTACTGGATGGAAACCTCAGTCTGGGCCTGGGAAAGAGAAAACTCCAAGTTATTACTGTTTATTCACTGCTCTTCCTCAGCAGAGCTCACAGGGGCACACTCCTTGGTGATGGATGATCTGTGAACCGTCTTCGATATTCTGGACATCTGTTGTCAACTATGCAAGAACACAGAATACTGCCTCACTCTGAGACAATGCTGGCTTCGTACTGCCGCCAAGGCCTGGAGTGGCTCACCAGCATTCCAGGCAGAATTTTTCCAGCATCAGCTGGAGATGTGGGAGACTGAACTTAGTGCCCTCCTCAAACAAAGTGCCAACCCACAATGCACGCCCCCCCCCCCACTGCTAGCCCTTTGCTGACGTCCAGAAGCAGCAAGTGAAAAGAGATCAAATGCTGCTATTATTTATAGCAATGCTGGGGATGGAAATAGCACGATCTTGAAAAACGACTGAAGATATGCAGGAGCTGATGCTTTCCCAAAATTTGCACAGGAGTCTAGTGGGAACTGTTAACACAGAATAAAAGAGTAATCAGGGGGACAATTTAAGGCAGGTTTGTGGAAATGTGGTTTCCTTCTAAACTTTCACTTATGAACCTTTCGTCAGTGTTTTCCCAAACTGAAAAGCTCCAAAAGAAGACACTCCATTCCCCCCCGAGAGCTTGGTCTGCCCTTTCTGCCCATTTGCCAGTTCTGCAATATCCTTTTTTAGCAGGGGTGTCCAGACGCGTGCAGCAATTCAAAGTCCCCACCCCCATCTCCTTTTGAGTTTTATACACAACACACATTTTGGAAGTGCAATTTTGAAGCAGAAATTGCTCAGCACGGTAAGACTGACTTCTGCATAAATGCACCAAGAATCAATTTGCAAACCCTACCGTTAAATTTCTTTCTTGAGCCTCTCAACATGGATCATTGGGACACGCCTTGCAAAACGAAGGAAACAGTTCAGTTTAAAACTGAAGTTAAAAAACTTCTCTGCCAAGTTTTTAAAAAATGAGATCATCTTGTCTTGCCTCCCCAGCTCATCCCATTTGATTGCTTTATATGAGCAAAGAGGTCTTTGGCTACTACTTTTAAACCATTTGCATCAACTACAGTTATGCCCCGCCCTTTTCCCTCCTGCAAGGAACTCAAGGTGCCTTATGTGGCCCTCCTCCTCTCCATTTTATCCCCACAAAATCTCTCTGATGTAGGTTAGGCTGAGTCAAAGTCACCCAGTGAGTTCTATGGCCAGGCGTGAATCAGAATATGGCTCTCCAAAGACCCAGTCCAACCCTCTAGCTACACAACAACACTGCCTTTCCATCAACTCAAATACACTTAGCTCACACTGGCTGTGTTGGATTTTTCACAACCACTGAGTACCACTTATACATTCAGTCAAATCACGTGTAGCTGACGTCATACGACAGGGCCAGGTATGAGCAGTCTGTGCTATAGAATGCCATCTCCCTGGACGTGGAAAGCCTTCCCGTCATCATGCTCATTTTCTGTGGTTTTTTAATCCTGTGTGCTTCTTGTGCAGGTGAGCCTGCACCTCACATAGGCTCCTGACCATTCTTACCTAATGAAATGCAAGCAAGAGAGACAGGCCCAAGCAAAAGCCTGCACCACTAACAGCCGTCGCTTTATAAAAGCAAGCATTGCCATTTCCTGTGAACAGCCGTTCGTGCCACCACTAAATGTGTGGACAGCAATGCCCCTCGCTTGGCCCTAACGGAAGGACTGAGCCGCAGGAGCACCCTCACTTGGTAGCCTTCTTCCCATCCATCTGCAGCTTCCCCTCCACTTCAGCCTCGCTGAGTTCCTCTGTAGGGCTCTGTGGCTCGGACCTGGGAAATGCTGTTTTTAAAGTGTCCACGATGGCGTTCATTACGATCTGCAAGAGAACGAGGAAGGAAGAGGGTCCTTCAGCAGCAGCAAGAGCAATAACCACAACAGATGAGGTACCTACTAAAGAGCATCTGAAGAAAATTATTAAAAAACCTCTGATTTGGATGGGCGATGCGAGACCAGGGTGGGGAAGTCTGTATGTCTGCACCTACGCGTATGTGTGAGTTGTCTCTTGTACCTATAAGGGCTTTTAGTCTCTATTTTAAAGTGTCTAATCCTTGTAATCTGCCCAAAGAACTCTGGCTGTTGCATGGTATTGAATGTAATCGATGGAAAGAACAAAAGACCCTTGTTGGTAGAGGCAAGGCTGCTCAAAAGCAGGGGGTAGGTTTTGTCTTGTCCTTCCTGTGCGTTACCCCCAGGTAGCCCTTGAATGTGTTACCTGGTCCCAATCCATGGGGACTCTGAGAATGAAGAGCTAATTATCAGCCTCACTGGGCTGAGCTTCTTGGCCACACCACATTGTGACACAATACCTTAGCTATACATGACTGAAGCCTTTTCTAGAAGACCATTCGTCCAGAAGCACACTACCTTGTCAATCCTGGAGACCACGAAGGGCTTTTTGACGAAGGCAATCCTGGCATCTGTGTTCAGGGCCAAGAATTCCTGCATCTCCTCGCTGTTGGCAATCTCAGGGATAGCGCACAGTTGCTGGAACATGAAAACACTCTCCTAGTACACTTAGCAGCATGTGGGTGTGTTTTACCAAGGTTGACAAAAGCTGCTCCTAACTCCAAGGCCAGAGAAGGCAGAACATGCTCCTGAAGTTGTGGTCCGCTGTTTTACATAGCAAAAGAATGCAGTGGATGCTCCCAACCCCATTAAAAAAGAAAGTGTCGTGTCTGAACGGGAGATCAATGCACAGTCATGGACGTCTCCTCACATTTTGTGTTACTACCAGGGGAAGGCCCACTGTTCTCCTGATCCCATCTTGTACTGTCTGGAAGGCCCCACTGCCTAAGAAACAAAGAACTGTGCCTATCACGGCATCTTTGTAGGCTTCATAAAATAATAATAATGATAATAGTAGTAGTAGTAGTTATAATAGCAGCAGCAAAAGAGCACCCCACTAGCCATATCTATTTAACTTCCAGGACAGGAGGAAACAACTCCTACCTTCAGGAATGACTCCAAAAGGCTTTTTCTGGCTTCTACTTTGTCGGTGTCCATATTACCAAATGGAAGATCTGGGAAGAGCTTCTTTGGACCTTTTATATCTGGAGATTTAAAAAGGAGGAGAACCTTAACTGCATCATTAATTGTATTAAATGCATTTGTTTCATCTGTTTCTTGGATACTTGCATATTGGCTTTCCAAACAAAGTTTGGAGCTATTTGTAATAACAAAAATGGTGTTTGAAACCAATGTTCAACATAGTTCATCTCGAACATGGGAACAGCTGCAAGAAGCATTGCTGGAAGTGATCGACACAACAGAAATCCAACTGCACTCCTCGCTTGCTTCTTTGGAGGGAGATGGCGAATAGCAGCCAGAGCTATGGCAGGCAGGCATTATATGTGGCGAACACATGGAGAGCATGATAGAAAGTGTGCTTGACTTGCAACCTCAGTTCCAACCTCAATTAGTCCTCCGTCACAATTTGTGCTGTGAATCCAGAATTGCTACATTAATTGTTTGCTTAGGACCTAGACCCTGCCCATTCCCAACATCTCAGGGTGGGTAGCAAGTTATTCTTTATTCTATCTTTTCTCTAGCTCCCAAGAGCGAGTGTGACAAATGATGTGGGACATAACATCTGGAAGAATCACAGGCTCAAACGATGCCAGGTCTCCAGGAGAAGAGAGCAACAAAGTCAGTACACAACAGCACACACACATCTTTGCACACCACTCTGATGTGGTGCAGAGATGGCACACATCAACACATTGGTGGTCAGTTGTAAAGCACACAGTAGAAGACAGCATGAAGGCAGCTGATCACAAGCCCACGCGGTGATCACTGAAGCAGCTCCAGCTGACAGTGTCATGACCTCTGGGTTGCCACCTCGCTAAAGCGGGCCTTTTCCATGGTGGCACCTAATTTATGGAATGATTTTCATTTCATAATTGGCCAGGGTGACTTACTTTATACAGTTATGTGTCTTTTATATTGCTATTTATGTATTTTAATTTATTTATTTGTAAGTCGCCCCGAGGCTTCGGCGAATGGGGCGGCCTAGAAATTCTCTAAATAAATAAATAAATAAATTTCCCCACTGGAATTCAGGAGGAGACCACTTTAGGCTCCAATGAAAGACTTCTTTCCTTCCCCAAGCCCTTCCTCAGAGAACCTACTGCCCTGTCTGCTTGCAATTACAGCTTTGCTTTAATTGACTTTAATGTTTCTATTAACATTTTATGCAATTATGTAATGTGCTGTGTAAGATGTAATATACTACAGTGCTTAGCATGTCGGAACAGCATTCAGAAGATCTGGATTCTAGTGCCCACATCTAATATAGCCATCCATATTACATGAACAGCTGAGGACAGATAGAAAGAGAAACAGAGGCTGCAATCTATACCCACTTACTTGAGGGTAGGCCTCACCAGACTCCGTAAGATTTATTTCAGAGTAAAGATATGTAGGACTAAACCTTTTCTGTACAAAAAGGTTCCCCAGAAAGTGTCAACTAAGCACTAACTTTTAATGAATTTCCGAAGATCCGACTTCTCCTCCAGTCTGGTTTGCAAGTTCAAGAATTCTCGGTATCGCCGGTTGACAGTGTGGTAAGCCACTTGCTGGAGACTGCTGCTATCACTGTCCAAAGTTGTCTCATACTGTTGAAGATAAAAGACCACCCATCATGCAAGCAGATCACATGACTGCCAACCTTCTGAACAGAGGTTGCATGACAGCACTGAAGGCTTCAGTGAGCTAGTTTGAGTGCTCAAGACTTCCAAGCCTTACAAAACATAACTGCAAACTGAAAACATCAGCCTCCCTGTTCATTACTGCAGTACAGACAAGGCAGATTCTACTCGGGGCCAGCTCAGGAGGTGCTGCACCTCTTTCAACCTGAACTCCCTTCTAGAGAAGACCTTGGAGGCCACATTCCAGCGCTGGATGGAGCCAAGAGCCAAAGGGGCACAGTCAAATCATCAGCCCGTTTCAGCATAAAGTTAGTTTAGTTACTGCCAGTAACTAAATCTCGGGAGAGGTATTTTGACCATTTGGAATTGGGGAAAACTGCTGCATAAACACCAAGGGAATGCAGCACAGTTGGTGGTCAGGGGAAAGGAAGGACACCAGATGTTGCAGAGCCCCTGGCCTGAAGTTCTGCACCCCTGGCCTGCCCAGTCACAGCACACCGAAACAAAGAGCTGGGTTACCTTTACAGTATACAAGGTGTAGGGATGGAAGCCAGTTCCACTGTGCTCACGGGCAGTGATGGTGCCAGTTATCCGCAGGTTCTGAATGATGACCGGGCCATCTGGGCTACTTAGAGGTTCAAAGCTGAAAGTTCCCATGGGGGCAGTGGGGGAGGAAGACAGCAACCCGGGCGACTGCGTGACATCCTGAGGGCTTTGTGCCAAGCTGCCAGAGGAGACCAACTCTTTCTCCAAGAAGGATGGCCGCCTCAAGAAGGTCTTTTCCGAGTCCTCCAGAAGGGCCGTCAAGGAGGCCAAAGTTGCCTCTCTCTCAGCCACTGGCGCAATCTGGATGTCTGGACACAGGTTCAGGGAGGCAGTTCGAAGGCCAGCTTCAGAGCTAGGGACAACGTTCTCCTCCACCCCTCTGACTTTCACTGGCAGGCTGTCCTCTTGGTCTGAGCCATCTTCTCCCTCCAGAGCAAGAGAGTCCCCAGGACATTCTTCAGTAGATACCAGGGTCATGGGACCAGAGTCTTTTCCGACATCAGACATGGGAGACTCAAGTTCCATGTTTTCACAGGGGAAGAAGGACCCCAGACAGTCTGGCTGAATGCAGGGCACAGAGGTGCTACTGGCTCTCCTTCCATCTATGTCAGAGCTCAACTCTCTGCTGATGGGTTCTTTTCCCTCTTGCAGGTGGCACTCCAAACTGTCCAGCGTGTCACCCACCAAAGGCTCAGAACTCCTTGGAGATTCAGCCCTAGCCTGTGCTGTGGCTTCTGACTGAAGGATCAGAGGCAAGGAACTGGGCACAGTGGGCTGGCAAGGGGAAAGGGCCGGGGCCTCTGGGGACGGCTCCACCTTCTCTCTTCCACCTGGGCCTCTGCCACTGATCTTGGAGAAAACTGCAATCAGCAGCAGGTTGAGCCAGTCGGGGTCTGCCATTTTGTTGATCATGGGCAGCAGCACATTGCAGGTGATGAGCTCCACCACCACAAAGCGCCCAGTCCTAGTTTCCAAGTGCGGTTCAGGAACCAAGACACGTAGCAACAAGTCCACAATGCGCCGAGCATAGTCCACCTCATTAGCCGGGCTCTGGACGGCCAGATGCGGTGTGGAGAACTCACAGTAGGCCTGCCACAGACGGTCAGCCCTCTGAGTCAGGTCCCCAGGAGGGCCCTCCGCTCCCACCTTTTCCCGGGCCTTCTTGTAGGTCTGCAGGTGGCAGCCCCCAAGCAGAAGCACCTTCTGGGTCAAGGCCTGCTTGTCCACAAGCTCCATCCTCCTTTTAAGCTCCAAGGCCAAGCTCATCATCCCTTTCTGCACCTCGTTTTCGAAGCTCTGCTCGCTGCTCACGGACTGGTACCAAGAGGACACAAAATCCCGAATGATCTTCCGGATCATGTTCTCAATCTCTGCATCCAGCTGCTTCTCAGCCTCCAGGCTCTGGGGGCAGCTCTCAATGAGTAGGAACCTTTCCAGGTGTATCTTGCTGCTGGTCCCGATCACCACCTGGGAGCCCAGCCACCCGCCCAGCAGGGCCAGCAAGCCAGAGAAGATGCACAGTAGCCAGATGTTGACCAGCAAGTGGAGCACCACTAGCCAGCCCAGCAGGGCCCCCAAGGCAATCAGCTTCCTGTTGCTTACCATGTCCCCGAAGCTGGGGCTACCCACCCTAGGAGCTGGCTCTGGGTCCCTTGGCATCTTCGGAAGCTCCCCGTTCCTCCTCTTTAAAAAACGCACATCTGCCTCGCTGCCGTCAACTCGAATTTTTCATCAAAGCTGCAATTTACACGAACTGGACATCTCCCCCCGCACCCCTTATACAGATGCAGCACAGATCTCGCAGGGTAGAAAGCAAAGGGTTTGGCCAGCAAAGTACAACGTTAGAGGCGGCTGGGCTTGCGGTGAAATGCCAAGTTCGCCGTCTCCCCCCACCACGCACTCTTCATGGGGGGGGGGGCGCAAAAGATGGTCTGCGGAAATCAAGGGGAGAAGAGCAACTCCATAAAGTCATTCCCCACCCACTCCTAGCGCGACCCCGGCTTCACCGCAGCTGCATGCGAAACCCTGAGCCCCGCGCGCTCCCCTAGCGAGTCTGACATCCTATTTTAACGCAATCGGCGGCGGGGGGTGGGGGGTGTCTCTCCTGTTTGTGTTTTTGCAGGAGCGACAGCGCGCGCCCCCACACGCGTGCACGCGCACGAGGAACCGGACGACCCCGCTGCGTCGCGTGCGCGCCCGCCCGCTTCAGGGCTTCCGATCGCCCGTCCAGACCCGGCCAAAGCGCTCCGCCGCCGCGCAATGCTCGAGCGTCTGCGCTCGGGTGCAAAGCACCGCATCCGTTCCGGGAGCCGCCGGCAGCCGCTGCAGGCGCCCCCGCCTGTCTGCTCGCTACAGGTGACAGGCTTTGCGGGAACCTGGGAGCTCTTCCTGGGTCTCTCGCTGCTAAAGAGGCAGCAAGAGAGGAAAGCTCTGAGCGGCGCGTTTGCAGAGGTGGTGCCATCTGGTGATGGGAATGGAGCACCGCGAGCACAGACCGGCTGGCGGGGACAGACTCCCTCTGATGCTGCCGCGGCTGCTGTCGTCGCCCATTCTCCTGCTTTTCGCACGCCCTGCTTTTTCCCAGTGTTTTTCCTTTTTTGCGCGGGGGAGGCAGGGACGGTGCTAAGTCTGGAAAAGATGCGGCTCCGGGCTGCACAAAGACGCAGAAAGCTGCACCTGCTGACCTGCAAATGCTTTTAAGTGTGCGTGCGTGCTTGCCTATAAAGGACCTATTTGTAAAAACGGATTATGGACAGGGAGGCATCTGATTCCTTAAAAAAAAAAAAAAGGAGAAGAAGAAGAACCTCAAGCCGAAAGTTTTGGGAAGAGAGCAGTAGGGGTGTACCAAGGGCCTACTATCCCAGGGGGATCAGAGGCAGCCAATCAGCAGTACCTTCATGCCAGCGAATGCTCCCAGGGAGCAGGGTGGTGGTACTGGTGGCCTCCCAGAGATGCTGGGCTCTGAATGGAAGCACGGGGGCTCCGCTCTTGAGGGCTGCCCCCTATGCTGCCTCTGGCTGAGCAGTTCCTGGGAAACTGCATACCCTTCACCATTCCACAGATGAAACCAGCGACACACTCGCAACACTTCCCATGGCAGGAAGGGTGCCCAGCCATGGCTGGCTTGCTCCACCAGCTGCTTCTATATACCAAGAGCAAGCTCATCACTCCAGGGTGGGGCCTTGGGAGGTAACTGGCTCCAGGCACAAGGTGTGGGCCTGGGGAAAGCCCAAGTCTGCAGCAGTCGCAATGCGGAGAGAAAGAAAGGGGGGAAGGAAATCATGCCCCTTGCCCAGTGGCCACAGAATTTGGATTAATGGAACGGGGAGAATGGAATGCAGTACATGCAATGGATTGCAATGGAGAGGGCCGGACGGCCAGCCGGCTGGCTCGCTCTCCACACCGTGACATTTTGTTGCACTCTATTTGTTTGCGTTTGTTAGAGACTATTCACACGCCATGATCCCTGCACCCCACCCCACCCCACCAGCAAGGCACAGCTCCTATGTTGTTCATCTTTTTCTCTTTGGGGAATGCCTTCTGAATGTTTTATTTGCTCGCTAAAGTAATCCTTGCCCAGATCCTGTTTTCAGCACAGAAGGTAAGAGCTGTGTTCAGTGGGGCTGATTGACTTTATCACTAAGTGGTGTCCATGTGTGTGTTTGCGTGTTGCCCCTTCTGCACCGACACGGAAAGATGGCTTGAGAACTAGGGCACTGGGTCTATGCAGCTGCTGAAGTATTTTGAGCAACCTATTGCAAGACATTTATGTGATAAATAAACATGCCCCCCTCCCTCATCAAGTCGACCTTCTCATGGCCATTTCCCAACTGCTGCTGTTCCTCTTTTGCTTTCTCACCAGTGGGCGAGTAGGCAGTGGCATCTACTGCTCCGTCTTCCCATCTGCAGGTGCCAGGGACTGATCCTGGGACCCTTCCCATGGAAAGCAGATGCCCATCGACATTCCATGGCTTCTCTATAGGTACCTTGAGGACTTTGGGTTGAGTGTGTTCCTTGCTTCCTATGAGCAGTACCAGGCTAGCTGTGCATGGAGCCTCACAGAGGATAGTCTTCTCTTGGAAGATCTGGCTGAGCACCATCCTTTATTTGCATGTGGCGTCTGTTGGAACAGCTCTTGTATCTAATTCCAGATTCAAAAGAAAGAACCCTAGAAAGAGTGAGCACCTGGGCAGCAGACGGAGAAGGCAGGTGGATAAGTTATTTGGTTACAGTCTTGCACATGATGGAGTGATGTACCATATTTCTACTGAAATTAACACAGTTATGTCTACATTTACCTTTTCTAATCTAAAGCAGCACCTGTAATTTTGCAGAAATTGCTGTCCTCTTTCTTGTGATGCAGTCTTCCCTTTTGGCAAGTGGCCACCCTTGGCAAGATCTGCTTTATACTGCATCTCTGGGGTTTTAGGGCAGACATTGGAACAGAAAACAGCCCTCCTGTCCACCGTGGAGTGTGGCAAGGAGAGTGCCAGGCCACCGCTTCTTGGAGCCAAACCATACATGGCACCATTCACACAACTGGAAATTGCGCCAGTGTTTTGTGGCAGAGCAAAACACACCTGGACTATCAGTAAGCAATGGGCTAAAGACTCCTATTCCCCACAAGATCAGTGGGTCCCTTGCCTTCGGTTTATTGTAAATACAGTAGTAAAAACAAAACAAAGACCCCACTTTTGCTCCCATGCAGCTTTTGGTCCCATCCGAAATCAGATCTTCCTGGGTCCATTGAGAGGGCCGAGCATTGGAGCCACTGCAGCAGGGCGGGGTCTGTGCCTGTCTCCTGGGGTGATGCCAGGGAATCACTCAGCCCAGGAAGGTTTAATGCACATGGTCTTCCAAGGCTTCCTTCTTTATTCTGATGCTCTGACACTTTTGCGCCATGGTCTTAATTTTGCACAAATGAATGCAGGGGTGGGTGGGAGACTTTGATTGCTACAAAAATCCTGTGGGATGGATTCAATGAGAGTGTGATGAATCCAAGATCACCTAGTGCATGATACGGCAACATATTCAAAATGAGATCTCGCCATGCTTCAGGGTACAGATTCCAGTATGCTATTTTCGAAGCATCAGGTGCCATCCAAAATTTCCATCCTAGTTCTACTGATGAGCATTGTTCTGAGAAAGGAGGAAAAAAAAGTTGGATGCGCCTAACTCATTTCATTTTCCTTCTGCCGGCTGGTAGAAAAGCAATCTAAGTGTTTTGCTGCGACTTCATAAAAATACATTTATTTTGCAGTTGTCAACTTTTAACTGCTTTTTTTCTCCTGTAGCTTTCCAGGAAGTATTGCCATTTCCAACCATTACCCTTTGTGAGAACTGAGAAAGTCTCTTTGCTTTCCAGAAGGTGTTAATGCTATCATGTTGGGAATTTCAGATCTGATATAACTCCTCTCCTGGTAGCATTTACTCTTACTGAAAGACAGCAGCTGTCCAACAGTCTGAGAAAGGAGGATTTGGATAACATGCTCAAGGCTAGGAAGAAGGATGTGCTTTTCAGGTTGTGTCTAACGCTATTTTTAAACAGGTGTGTATTAAGACTGTGTCCCATGCAGGAAAGTTTCTTTCTGGGTAGTGCTGATGGTGCTAGAATACGTATTTGAACTGAATACATTTTCCCAGTCCATGACACATTAGATTAAATGCTTCAATTTATTCTTGAAGTTTCCTTTCCTATGATTTTATTGTATTTCTCCTTTTAACAAGATTGGTATTGTGCCTATATACTTAAGCTACTGTGGTCATTAACAATATATGTTTTAATATCTTACAGTCATTCACATAAATTGTCAATCTCAAAACCATAGAATAAAAGTGAAGAAACTATTAAAATGAAACCAGGCATCTGTTAAAGCCTCAAGAGGCTACAATGGCCTCTTGGGACTGGATTGCGGTGCTATTCTGGAATCAAGGGTCACGCCACTGAAAAGTTCTCAGTTCATCAGTCTCCTCATCTCTCAAGGGAGCAGCAACTGTTAGACTTGAAAGAGCAGGTATGGCCATATAAAACTTTATTGCTCACAATGAACCAGATGTCATCTTTGTCTTGGTTGATGTTGCTATTATCATTATACTTCATAGAATCATAGAATAGTAGAGTTGGAAGGGGCCATGAAGGCCATCGAGTCCAACTCCCTGCTGTTGCAGGACACCACATTACACCATCCCACTCAGATGCCTGTCCAGTTTCTTCTTGAATGTCTCTAGTGTGGGAGAGCCTACCACCTCTCTAGGCAGCTGGTTCTACTGCCCTATTGCCCAATATTTGGAGATCAAAATGGCAGGGTGCATTTCTTTTTCTTGGAAGTGGAGAACACAAAAAGCCACATAACTTCTCTCAAACAAAAATCCAAAGAAATTTTCCCTCAGCTCCAGCTGCGAATATCTGGGAAATAATGAATAGCCTTGGTGTTTATCTTTCTGCCAATAAGGACAGGGTTTTAACATGTTCTTGCAGAATCTGCAGTAAGGATGTACCAAAATTTTGTTTCTGCTTGCAGATTATGCAAACACCCCCATTTACAACCCTAAAGATAAACATGAGCAAAAGCATAATGCTTGAAAATTGTTCAGCAGTTTCCTAAACTTGCATTTGCATTTGAAAGTGCACACTTGTGCAAGTACACACTTCTGAAAATGCACATCCCTCCCCCCAAATTTTCATACTTTAGCCTATGGTGGGAAAATCGTGTTTGGGATGTGTGCTTGGAAAAGACCACAGTGTTTATGTTTGACTATGTGCCCTTTTTCTGCTCAAGAAAAGAAACAAATACATTCAGAAGCAAACGTTATCAAGATGAGCATTGAAGTGGAAAATAGTAAACCTCAGCAAACTCTAACATTTCTTGTTTTCCCATCCCTAATCCACAATAATTGCCCTGACAATTATGAAGAAGTATAGGAAAAGGAGTTGC